AGTCTGAGTTTGAGAACATTTGATTCAATGGCTGCATGCAACAGATCATTTGGGTTCTCGTGTAACTTTCATGAGCTTGTTTAAAACCAGCTCTGTGTCTACATGGGAAAGTTTATTTTCAATAAGGTAGAGCAGCTACAATTGCTTCTGAGATCTCTCCGTCCTCTCAGCCCTTTCCTCCTCAAAGACGGGAAACGTTTTCCTACAACTAGTACCAGGGAATGCGCAAAGCCTGCATTATTGCTGTTGCTTCTGTGTGGTAAGGTAATTATAGGGGCTCTTGCACCTGGAAACAGCTGGGCATTTGGAGTGTGTTTTGCCACATCAGCACACTGCGATTGGAAGAATCCCCTCACAAAATGATCCTGAGAGAGAAAACACGAGATTCTCGATAGCTGTGTTTTTGTACGTGGCGTACCTCCTTGCTGGTTGGAGCTGCTCCTGTTAAGCTGGTGTTACGTGCAGATTCAAATATCTTGGCTTGAACGAGGACACCAAAAAGTGTGTCTAATTGCCCATAACTAATGTGGTAAAAGACAGAGGAGAGGTTTTAGTATCAGTTGTTTTGTCTAAAGCTGGGTTGGAACTGTTCAGTCATTTCCTGCAGCGCTGGGAGGCCTGGCAGCGAGTTGGCTGGTTTGCCACATATTCATGAGCCCACAGAAGAGTGTATGTTGCCAAGGGAGATAGTGTGTCTAAAAGTTTATTATGCAGCTTTCCCTCCTTCATGCTTTCTATCTTTAGTTCTGCTTATGCTGTCACTGAGGCTGAATCCACTACTGACTGTATAATACAGTAATTGTGAATCTCTGCATTCATAATTTCCAGGAGAAGATGCAAAGGAATCTCCTCTTCTAGGATCAGTCTCTTCAGTTACCTGAGGTCTGCACGAGTTTGTCAGATGGACAGGTCCTTTCCAAATGCTGGGAGTACGGCCACGTACACTAGTGTAGGTCTGTTTGGCCTGTGGTAACCTGACAGGTCACATACAGCTCAACCACAGACATCCCAAATGGATTTTCCAAATCTTGCCTTTGCTTGTCCTACGTTGACATTATTTACTTTTTGCTATATTTGTGTTTCCTGAGGCTCTTGTCTGGCTTAAAAAAAAAAAAAAAGAGAGAACTAACTGCTTGCGCTTCTGACGGCACTACAAGTAAATCAACTACTGCCGCTTTCAAAAATAGAGGGGTGTTGGGAAAACTCTTCAGTATCTACTACTAAGATGAAGAAAGAACTTTCTTGGCACGGAATGTATTCTGAAATTGTACTTTTATAAAATATTCTTATTGTTTGTCTATACCTTTGACTATGCAAAGTAGAGCAGTGATACACAGGTATCACAGGTATGTTTCTCAAGAAAATCCTGGTGCATGTTTGTGGTGAAACTTGGTATGTTCCCTGCAGCCGGATAATGAGCCTTCAAGGCTGGGGTATGCTGCTGATCATTGTGTGGAGGAGTGACAAAACTTTAGGAAGAACTTGTTGGATAATGCAGTGGGTAAGCTTGTGTATGTACAGCAGAGGCTGTAGTGCTTGCTGCTATGCTGGCAAATCTGTGTGTGGACAGACTGTCATCAGGCACTGGAAGTTTTTCTGGCACAGTTTCACCACTTCTGTGTGTTTTATAAACTAAAGATGCTAATAGATGAGTGCTGGTAAATCTTTGTGGGAGCTGAAGATGTTACTGCCACATTCTTACGGTCTGTTTTTGGCATTTTTCAGTATCAGGCACTAGAGTTTTGAACAGGTCATTTGGTATGTTACGTGTGAGTATTGGCAACGAAGAAGCTGAGGCACTTTTCTGGCAATGAACTGAGAAGCTTTGGCAGAGGGCTTGAACAAGCATCTTTGAGTGACGGGGAGTTAAATTACTGTAGCAAGACTTGCAAGAGTTTGTTTAGTAGTACCTTAAGCTGACAAAATCTTTTTTTATGAGCTTAGCTAAAGTTAGTTGCAAGTCATATCAGAAAATGCACACCTTTCCTGTGTAAGAGATGGTTTGACACAGTGGCTGGAAAACCAGATATCCCTTGGTTCATTAAGTTATTTTTGATTTATGGATGTTGCAGCATGCTGAGTTATGTGGTTTCAGGTATCTTGTGATATCACATTGAGTTAACAAAATCTGAAACAAAATAGTTTGCTGGGGACTAACTGGATGTGATGACTGCCCCAATTGACTAACCATATAGGGGAATAGCTGGTGGTACTAAGCTGCTGCTTACTCACAATTACAGAGCGGTTCTATGTAAGGTACGAAGGTTCAGAGCTGTTAAAGCCAAGAGGTGTGTGTCTAGACAAGTGCAGCTTGTAAACTCTGGACATTAAAAGTATACCTTTAAAAAAAAACAGACAAAGATACAGGTTGTACCAGGTGATATTTGCATTAGAGTAATGTGAATCTGCTGCACATCTAGTACTTAATTTTTAATAGGTAGTATTGGTTGTACCCACGTGGAATATTACAGCTCTACAAGAGTCGTGTAACAAATACACTGGGTGCAGCAGATTAATTTCTTGAAATGGCCTGGAGTGTTCCTTCTCAGGTGGTTCATGAATCTCTTCTGAATGGTGCTGTTCCCTTCTTACCCAACTGCCTACTTGGGCAGGAGCAGGGAGCAAACTGGGCACTTTGAAAGTCCATGCCACAAGTCAGGGAGAGGAGACAGCACGTCAAGCAAGATGTCCCCTACATGCCTTTTACTGGAAAGGTGAATGCTTGCTGACACCGTGAACGTAGTTCCCATTCTCTCATGTGACCTCCAATTTGAATGAAGGTTTTCTTATTTTCTGTCAGAAGAAAGTCAGAGGAGGAAGAGAAATAGTGTAAGAGTAGAATATCGGAGATAGACTGCAAGCTGGAAGTCTTGGATGGTCTGTCAGAGCAGCAAAAATGTTGGACCCGCTATCTTGACCTCTGGAGATGCCTTGTTTTTGATTGTAGACTTTGAGAAGAGAGTAGGGAGAGGACACAGTACATGGCGAAGTTTGAAGTGGCATTGATTGGGATGCAAATGCCAATGCTATGACAGAAACTGTAGAAAGAAGATATTTCCAGGTTAGGAGCGATACAAGAGGGACGGTGCAATGTCCAGTTGCCAAGTATGTAAGTGAACCTTTTCCACAAAGCTTTTTGAGATTGGAATACAGTCTGGTGAGAGAAGGGAACTCTGCCCTACCTCCAGGTGTATGCAGGCACCTACTTAAAACTCACTTCTTAAGAGGGCATGAAGTACCAGTTTTCAGGTTGTAATCTGTTGTTTCTGAAATGGTCAGGTCCAAACTTTAAGTGACTATGATTTCAAGCAGCAACTCCTTGCTTCTTGTTTCCCTTCTCCTTTAAAAAGTGAATTCCTTCAGTGTTCAGAGCTTTTGGCACTGTAATATTAATAGATCTGCACCCTCGTGTTGATCTTCCTATCCCCTCCTCCCTCCTATTGCAGTCTTCTCTCTTACAAACACCAAGTTGGGATGAGTATTACTGAGCTAATAAGCTTTGTGGAGTAGGGAAGAGGTGGGCTGAGATAAAAACCCAGATGGTTCATTGTGAGTTGAAGCTAACAAGCCTTTGATGTAGCTGAACTGATGCTCTGCGTTTGGTTTGGGTGTCTTTGCACTGAGCTTCCTAGCGTGTCTGTAATACTTACCTGATCTTTTCTCTGTTATCTGTAGCAGCCTGTGAGCTGGGATGGTAGGCAGTTGTCTACGCAGAGCTTCTGCTATTACACTCTTCCTGCTAGGGAGCTGCTGACAGTGAAAACAGTGACTCCCAAGCACGTTGGAAGCTCTTAGGACATTGTTCCCCAAGTTAAAAACCATATTTTTCCTATGTCTTTTTTGTGGTCATGTACTACCATCACATAAATACACAAAGCTTCAGCAAATTACTTTTTATTTTTAGTGACTGTAACTGTCTGGCAACCCTAACATGTGCAGCACAAGTGTATGTCAGAAAGACAAAATATAAAGGCAGAAATTCTGATACAAGAAATTGAATGTTTGCCATTGTGTTAGTGTTGGTATTAAGTAAACTGCCCTTTGGCTGGAATGTGTTTAAGCATTTTACAGGTGTCTTAGAATTGGGGGAGGAGAATGGGGAAATAAATGAAATGGCTGGAAAAAATCGTGCAAGGCTAGTATGCGTATTCTTTCGCTGTTTTTTTCCTATGGTACGAAAGATGTTAAGTTGCCTGAAACGTGCATGTGCTCACTGATGCATCAGTAACTTTCAGTGAAACAGTTCTGAGAGAATTGCCTTTAGCTCAGTGTAGTACTGACCCTGGAGAGGTTTGAAAAAACATCTGTGTACTTGATCACTGAAGTCGATTACTGGCATAGAGAAACAGGAGGAGGAAAAATGCAATTCAGTGTTCTAACTACATATTAAAGTATTAAAGTTGAAGTATAAATGTATTTTATGTTAACCTGTTTCCACATTAGTATTGGAAAACAGAGTTGCCTGAAAGAGTTGGGGAAACATTATTTCAGTTATTACTTTATTTTCAAGATCTTTCAATACGTTGGGTAAGAGACTGCACTTTCATTTTGATGTTTCATCAAGGTTTGGTTTTAGGAATGCATAATGGAGTTTTCAACTGCATTACAGTTTAGCGAGCATATCTTTGTAAATCACTTGCGGGTGTTTCAATGGTGAGTTAACTAGCCTGTGTTTTCTCAAGGGATATTTCTAACTTTCAAGCTGGAGTACTTCCACTTCCAGCTATTTTTCTTTGGCCTGGCTTTGATTTATACAAATGCTAATTATAAGGGCTTTGAATCTGTGTGTATACATCGTTTCACAAGGTCATACACGTTTTTAATGAACTGGCTGAAATGCTGCTTATATATTGCTAGGTTGTTGCATAAATAGATCACTGTCTTCTAAATGTTGTTTCATTAATCAGTTCAAAAAGAGAAAAAAAATATTAGTAGCAATACCTGTGTAAAGCTGATTTTTAGTTTCGTCTCCTAAAGTTCTGTCTTCGTTGTCTCTGCAGGCATCAGAAGGTGTCACCTTCATTGGACCTGACACACATGCTATTCAAGCTATGGGAGACAAGATTGAAAGCAAATTGTTAGCCAAGAATGCAAAGGTCAACACGATCCCTGGCTTTGATGGAGTAGTCAAGGTGAGAAATCATTTAATTACTGTCTGCCCACTGTAGGAACAGTGTCTAAATTGAAGTACACCTATTGAAGGTCTGATGCAGAATGTAATTATAACTTCCAACTTCTTTTTCAATAAGATGTAATTAAAAATGGGGTACAGATTTTTACTAGCAAGAAGGCTTTGGAGAAGAAGAGAAAGTCCTTCATAATAAAAAGATGTATAAAGGACTGCTTCTATGCAGTCTCTAAAAATGCTTTGCTTTAAATTTAACATGGAGGCAGGTAAATGTGTTAAATATCAGATGTGGATTCGACGGTCTGCACCTCTTTACATTTCTCAGGTCTTTATGTCTTGTTGGCCAAGATCTCGGCAGCCTTAAGTTAAGAGCGAAGTTTGTTACGCTGTATGAAGTTTCCATTTTACAGTCTGTGCTGATGGTACAGGTTTCCACGTGTTGCAAAACTCGGGGTGAGGATGAGGGGGGGGGGAAGTTGATAGCTCTTTGTGTGAATCTACAGCTAGTGTTCTTCCTAGGGTTTTAGAAGGAATGATTGCCAGCATTTTTCTAAAAAATATTTTGGTTGTTACTTTATAGTTTATAAGGTGAAATAAAGTATGTCTTGGTTTTGGTTTATTTTCTGCTACAGTGATTAAGTATTGGGCTCTTATAAGCTTTTCTGTGTGTCTTTATGTATTGTCTGTGTTAGTGTAGGTAAATAAACTTTTTTCCTTTAAAACTTTCATTGTGTAGACCTAAAACTTTGTTGTATTATAAAGTGTTGACCTCCTTGGATGAAATTTTTTACTTGACATATCAAGTTAGATTTTTCCAAACAAAATTTGAGTAAAACTTTGAGTTGTGCAAAAAAAGTGAGAAGTTTTTCAACAACACTTTAATGTAGTGAAGGGAAAGCTTTTCAGGTTTTACTTGTGACAATTGATATTGACCTCTGATCATTATAAATCTTATTTACCTGATGAAATAGGAAATGTCAGGGTAATTGGGAGCAACTAAATGTATTGATGGAATGCAGACTGTGTTTTAAGGAATGACTTGTACGAGGGCAATGGTGTTCAGCATTACGTCAGTGAAGTTGGATTTTAAACTCTGTTAGGAGGGGAAAAAAAAAAACAAAACAAAATAAAAACCCAACTAAATGAGAAAGGTGAATAAAGTACAAAGGGGCCAAACCTCCACAAAGTTATCTGTTGTGATGAGGGTGCCTGGAGAACTTGGCTAGTGAGAGAGAACACTAAAATCATGAAGTAGCTGAGGTCAAAACGCGCAAGAGAATTCTTCCGTGCTGGTGTTGGAAATGCCTGACCTGTGTAATGCCTGGCAGTGGGATATGCTGCACCAGGTAAAAGTGCAAGGACTTGTTTCTCTTCCAGAGGGCTCTGTATGAGCGTTAGGCTGACACTTGTGGCAATGCTGAAGTCCGGCGGTGATAAACTGAACGCAGCATTCCTTCAGGTTTTTGTTGTGTGGTTTAGCAGTCCTTGTGTACATGGTCCTTTAGCACTCCTAAGATTTAACAGCAGACAAACTATTGTGCGCAAGATCCTTTTTTTTTTTTCTTATAGCCTGCATATTCTTCTAGAAATCCTGAAAATAACTTACAGAAAAACATCTAATTAACAGATAATGTAATCATCTAAACTCCATAAAACTTTTCCTAATGCAGATTCAGATACTCAAAATGCTGGTTTTATCACTGTATCAAGTTAAAACTTATGTAAGGGTTTGTTATTCTCCTCATATAAAGAAACAAACCTGGCAAAGTAAGATAATGGTTAATGACCGGATAGCTGTATAACCAGTGAAACTGAGCTACTTGCCTGTATGCACTTGTTTTAGAGACTTTTAATTGCACAGGTTTTTTGACAATTATCTGAAGTTCCTGATGCAAAATGAAAGAACGTAAGTGATCTGGTTGGCAACTGGCTATATGCAATGATAGTCTTAAGACCAAATGAAGTGGAATGTAGGATTGAGTTGACAAGTCCAGTCCTCAGCTATTGAAAGGAACTATGCAGTAGTTGCTTAATGGTGAAGTGTCCGTGTCATATCAATTTCACATACCTCAGCCTTGCCCTAGTTCTGATTTTCTGAAGAGGGTTGATGAAAAAGAACATGAGATTAAAAAAAACCCAAACCCTGCGGTGTACCCACCAAATAAGAAAAAGGAGAGTCCGCAGACATTGCCAGTGTTGTAGTTGCCATCAGAAAAGGGAGATGAAAATTTTAGGTTAACCAGTGCTTTGGTTACCAGTTCTGGGAAATAAAACTTCTGATGACTGACATTTTCATCCTTGCTATGGATCTAAACATGTGCCCATGTTTGTCCTCTGATCTCCTTCCTGTGATAATGTGTCTTTTGCTTGGATGAGTACTGGAGTAGTAGGTCATACAGGGTGCCTGATCTTTGGTTAGAGCTTGATGCACTATTTTGCCAATTCAGACTTAAGGTAGGAAGGGCAAAGCTGTATGATACCAGGTACAATCAGAAGAACAACACACAAGGAATTGGAGCCCATATAGGATTTCTGCTGTTCTATGGAAGACCTGTTTTGGTCACAGAGTTATGAAGATTTCAAAATCTTTGAGGGCTCTTTTTCTTGAGAAATAAAGTTTTTAAAGGTCCTAGGAAGGAGTTAAGTGCCTGCTTGATACTTGGGTTGATTAGAGGTGGCTTCGTCTTTCTAGTGGGGTCTAATAAAGCTGGAAGAAAAGTTGCATTCATGCCTCTGACAACGCCAGAAGTTAAGAAAGATCAGTTGCACGTATTCTTTGTGGATGAATAGTTAAAGTGAACATAGGGTAACAACTTCTAGTGCTTCATTATTCAATTCAGGACTGCACTGAAATTCTTTGTTACTTGAAGAGTTGTCTTTGTCCAGCACTTACTGCTGCAGATACATAGGCTCTTCATGAATAAAGGGTGTTTTCCCCCTCTTATTTATGTTGCATAGCACTTACACATAGTAGACACTGGAGTACCTAAGTTTTTGTAATGACATCCTGGAGAAGCTGCATGCAGAAAAATTCCCAGTGAGTAGAAATTAAATGAGAAATTTAAGAAAAGGGAGCCCTTTGACAGTATCATTAAGGACCTGGAAGGATTGAAGAGGAGGATGCTTGGTGTAACAGACCCAACCAACTGTTCTCATATAGGCAAACGCTGTAGCAAATATGAAACGGAGAATGGAAAGATGTGGAGCGAGAGTGGAGAGGGTAGTTTGACAGAGTAATTTTCTTCTCATCCCTGGTTCAGTTTCTGAGTTGGCTGGGACGAGGGTTATCCAGTCTACACACGTAAAGAACCTGAGTGTGGTGCTGTCAGCTAGAGAGCCAACAAAAGCATTCCAAGGTAGCTTATTTCAAAATCTGTAACTACAATTAGTTTCCTAAAACCTGATTGGGAGAGAGAGAGTAGTCAGTAGTCTTCATCAAATGAATTAGCGTTAATCCATGTGAGCAATGGCTGTGCTAAAGTTAGAGCTGAGAAGATGTCTGTAGCCGAGTAAAGAGGAATAAGTGACAAAAAGTGGAGGCTGAGTAATGAGTATAAGGAGATGCTGTGGGAAAAAAATAGCAAAGGAACGTCAAGGGAAGAAAGTTTTTGGTATTGTTTCAGCACGTATGGCCAGTTTGGCTTTACGGCTGGTAGCACACAGCTGGATGTAACCCCAGCAGAATAACATCTCTGGGTCTTTCCTTAGTTTCACTGATGTCAGTAGACATGTTGAAGGTTTTCAGCAAGGCTATCAGTTTCCTGTATTTAAGTTTCAGGTATCTGTTCTGGCTGTATTCTTGCATTGGAGTGCTGACATTGGGATGAAATGATCCACTGTATTGCTGGAGAGGCGGTTGGAGACTGGACGTGAGCTGGGGGTTCTCTAAGCCCAAAGCCCTCAGCCATGAAAACTATTCTGTAGTTCTTCATCATTAATACTGTGTTTTACAGCTCTGGGAGTCTCTTAAACAGCTTTATCCTGGCATTCCTACACATCGGAATAGTTTTGCTTTTTTGTCTCCACCTGCTGGTACCTGGGAGAGGGGCATGTACATGAAATTGGGAGGTTAGACGTTCTTGTGCTAAATGCGGATTTTACGTCTTTTTAACTTAATGAAACCAGCCATTTGTAAAAACACTAGGACATCGTTTTATACCTCTTTCAATTTTTATAAACTTGTACCACTACTTGAACATTTTTTATTTGTACAATAAAAGGTGGTGCTAAAATTATATATTTCTTTACAATCTCCAGTTTATTTTGGGAAAATGGTGGTGTAGCTGTTGTGTTTTTAGAGGAAACAGCAGTAAATCGTTGAGGACTTTTGCTTTTTAAAAAATAATTCAAAATGCTTTTGGTACCGGTGTGGTTTTATATATTTTGCACATATGGACTTGTGTGTTATGCAGTGCTATAGCATTCAGTTCCCCCCCCCCGTGGCAAATGTTGTGTATCTACCGTAAGTTCTTTGCACCAAAAATCTAAAGCAACTCTCCTAACTCTTTATGAGTACTCAAACTGCTGCTGTATTTATGTAATCTGCAAGTGAAATGCATGAGACTATAACATACTGTCTTAGGGAAAAAGATCCCAAGACTTAGCAGAGATTTCAGTATGTCAGTTGTTTATTATTAATTTTTTTATTAGTTTTTAAAGCACAGCATGTTTTTGTTTATATTTCAGAAATGCTCTTTGAAGGCTAAAGAATTTTACTTTTTTTTTTTAATCTTAGAGTTTGGGTTCTAATGCATTAGAACTGTAAAAGAAACAGATGTTGAAACGGTGTAAATTAGTAACTGTGCTGGGCAGATGACTTCAGTCTGTTGAAGCCCGAACTGAGACAATGAATGCTGCTGATAAGATGCCGCTTATTACTGACATTTGTGGTAGGCATCTATAAAAATACAGTGGCAGGGAAAAGCTCCCCTGTAATGATTTGCAGCTTGTCTTCCTGTGGACTGCAGTGTAGCAGTTAGCCACTTGTTTGCAGGTAACTAAGTGGGGAGGGGGGGGAAAAAAATAAAAAAAAAAAATTTACCCTGTTTGCTTCCCCCTCCTCTTAATTCTGTTTTGCAAATATATGAGGGAATTTGCAAGAGAAAAGAAATGTAAAAGTTTCTTCTCGACTATAATCGGGGCTCTTCATCAGTCATCACTCTCCCTGCATTTTGTTCCAGAGGCTCTAATTGTCCGCGTTTGGCAGGTTTAACACTTCCTGACGGCCAGGCTATTAAGGGGAAGTGTTCTCGCATAACTGTCACAGGCAGGAACAAAGAACCTTCCAACTCAATTGGTGGAAGCCACTAACATTCTGAAGTGAGCCTTTTCATGCATTTTATCCCTCTAAGCTAAAATTTGGAGGGTGCAGGGTCATGGAAAGCAGCAAGGTGTAATAAAACAGTAAACTCTGATTTTTATTTATTTATTTTTTTTTTTTTTCCTGCGGGGGAGGGAGGAGGTTTTTTTGCTAGATTTATCTCTTGACTCAAACAATTGTTATTTGGAAAAAAAATCTCATTAGCAGATGTGACTGGAGTAAAAAGACTTAAAACTGATGTTGCTTTCGGGACTGCTTTGAACTTAACAAGCACCGATTTGTGGAGCAGACTAGCTAATGAAAGGAAATTAAATTTTCTGACAACTTCCCCTGCCAGCCCCCTTATTCTTCATGGGGCTGTTACTAGGTACTGAAGACTTTTAAAGAGGATTTTGTTTTATTATCGGACATAAATGAACCAGGTATGAACATTTCTTACGTATTTTTTTTTTAAAGTTCTGACCTGGGTGCTTTTAAAATGGATTGCCTTGAAAGCCTTAAAAATATCAGGTTTCATTTTAATGTTCATAAGTCAGCCCCCATAGTTTCAGACACACTTAGCAGCTGGTGGTTTCCAGACATTACTGCCTTCCATACAAATTTTTTAATGCATGTCACGGAATAGCACAAATATTAGCAAATTTTGATGGAATTTTCAAACTTACCCCACGCTACTGTAATTTTAACCCTTTTTCTTTCTAGTATTGTGTAATGGAAGTATATTGTTATCAGCAGAGGAAAGCAGGATTAAGTACTGCAGGAGAAGCGATTTGGTTATTAAAAAGTAAGCAATTCAAGTATTTTGGGTTTTATTCTCTGGGTTTCCTAGTACTTTTTTTTTCTGTACCAGGCTGTAGTAGTATGAGTCAGCTGAAGCAATCGGTGGCATCAACAAAAGGATTTTTCTAATTGCCATACGCTGGTAATGCGCCGACTCTTAAATGGGAACAGCTATGTGAATCGTCTCATTTCAGATACAGCTTCGAACGACGCAGTTAAGGTTGATGCTGTCTTTGGAATGAAAAAACTTACCAAAGTGAAATGCTGGTGTGTTTTCTTCAATAGACAAAAAAGAATTTGTCTTTAAAGAAGTCCTGGGAGATTTTTTTTTTTTTTCCTGGACCTGAATCCCTCCCCAACAATAGAGAATGAACTCCCCCTGCTGACAGCAGCCCGGCCAACACAAGAAATACCTGTGAGGGCAGAAACAAGCTGGCCGTGGAGAAACTTTAACGATCTGATTTATGGTCCATTATTGATTGTAAACTTCTAAATTCTAGCATTAAATTCCTACAACTGCAGAAAATCACTTTGCGATCCCGGCTGTGTTTCCTGTCAGCTGATTCCTCGTTGCTTTGAGTTTCTCCGTATACTAATGATGAGGTAGAATTTACATTCCACTTATGGTATTAATTTTACATTCCTCTGGCTGAAAAGGGTCAGAAGGTTGTAAAATCAAACATTAAATGAATCAGAGGAGACAGTAGTGCAATATATGACTGCCCTCAGGACACAGTGCAATGGCTGATGGGATTAACGTTGGGTCTCATTTCCTGCTTTTACAGGATGCAGATGAAGCTGTCAGAATTGCAAGGGAAATTGGTAAGTTCTTAAATTAGCTATGGTGGGATTTGTGTGCCTCTCAGCAGACATGGTTGACTAAATTGAATGTGTAATAAGTAATCCCTATAGAACAAATAATGTTTTAATAGTTTTTAAGTTCCCTGTTGCCTATAGGGCTGGAAGAATCTAGGTGTTAATGCCCTGTCTCTTCAATCATCGCATTTTAGTTTTACAAACTGGACTTTACAGAACAAGTGCAGCCATGATTTGGGCGCGTGTAATACGCAGTAATGAGTAGCTTGCTAAAGGAGTTCTCACAAAGTATATCTGCAATTGGACGTGATAGTCAGAAGGCGGGCAGGGTACACTTCTCTTTATATGGAGGCTGACACCAGTGATGTTATGATCTTCGTTCTTCATCACTCTGTGGACTGCAATTAGCTTGAATATCATCCAGAGCACTGGCCTTTCTTCTGTGTTTTCTGGAATAAAGTCACTGTTCAGCCTCTGAGTAACTTACGGAATGGTGAAAAGAGCAACCAGCAAACTGTCTGGGACTCATTTTGATGAAGGTTAAGTGTAGTACATATTTAATGAGTTTTGGCTTTTATTTACTAAGGCTTAATATTAGGGAACATATTAAACCGTATGCTTGAAATTACACGTGTTCTTAAATGCTTTCTAGAAGAAGAATCTCATGCAATAAGAGACTTTTTTGCATTTTCATTTTAAGAGACAGTAGCCATGAGGAGCTATTTAGGTTCATCACGGGTCCATAATTCAAATGATGTATCTACATTTGAAGCTTCTCTTGCCGATCTAGCTACAAATATATCTCACCTGTGTCAAAAGCGATGGCTGTGCCTTATGTGCCAAATAGAAACTGGGACTTACTCTGCTGCAGATAACTTTTTTTTTTCATCAGTGTAACATCTTTCCACTTTGAAATGTAAGTTGGGGTTTTTACCCTGCGCTGCCCTGAACCCCCCTCAGTGTAGGCTTGGCTGGCTTTTAGGCCGACACAAGTGCAGTCAGTGTTTTCTGTGGGTCAGCCTTTGTGTCCTTGTTGGGAAATCAAATGATTACAGATCTCTGTCATGGGAGCAGAAACAAAAGGAAGAGGTTATCAACCAAATTCAAACATTTGGAGGAGAATTGTGAGTAAAATTGCCTTTAGTCCTTAAAAAAGGCATAGTATTATGATTTTATTTCAGTTCAGTTTAATTTCAATAGTCGCTCTTGTTTTTTAAAAATTTCCTGCAAGTATTTTTAAAGCAATTTGAATTAACATAAGTTGGAAGGCATTCAGTGGCTTCCTAGATACCCTTTAAAATGTATTCTTGCTTAATTTTCTTCTGAGTTGTTCTGGTGTTCTGTTGACTGGTTCCAGTCTTTGATATCAGTAGCACTTTGGAGGTCATTATCAAGGCAGTCTTAAATCTATAGATGTTAAAGTCAATTACAGACAGCTGGGTGGTGCTTTATCTAGATGGCAAATTCTTTAACCATTTTGTAACAGAAAAGATTTGTACTATGATGCCATGTAGTGAAAGAAAAATGACCTTCCTAGCTTTTTTTTCCACCCATGTTTCAACCAGTTGATCAGTTTGGTTAAGCTTCTGTCTAATCGTGACCACTGACCAGAATAAAACCTGATGATTTGTGATTTCAAGGGATCTAAAATAGGATGAAATTAAAGTCTCTTATATGAAGACAAATGCGCTATATACATATAAGGCACTTGATATGCAATTGAATACTTTCAGATTATTTTTAATTTCACTTGTCCAGAGCCTCAGTCTTCCAAGAATGCTTAAACAATTATTAAAAAAAAATTGATTGTGAATCAGCACTTAAAACTCTAAAATGTTGTGTAAATGTTCTCTTGCTGCCTGTGTTTTTTCCTGCTTCTCCCTGCTATGTCTAGCCAAAGATCCAGAAGCAGTGGAGTGTGACACTTCAGGGTTGAGACACTGCCTTTACCTATTTCAGTGACTATTACTTATGGATACAAATGTTGTAGATACAGGAGTAAAATCGACTTTTTTGCCCGTCATCTGAGATGTGCTCTCCCAAGTTGCCGAAAGTGACAGAGATACTAGGCTAAATCAGGAACGGGAAGAACTTTAGGCACAAATTGCTGTATAGGCTCCTTTCTATAGTCTCTCTTCTTTATTTGTCTGTGTGGGCTCTTCTTCTCTTGTGGTGCTTTCGGTAGTGCTTAACCACATTGGCACTTTTCCCATGCTACTCTTAAGCCTATTTGTAAGTTGTACATTAAGAACTGCTGGCTTCTTGATTTCTGAAGCATCAGTGAAACTCTGGAAAGTTTTACTCCGCAGTTTGAAAGGACTGAACAACTACGAAATGCGGGCAGTTAAACTAAATGAAAGTCTATACAAAACTGAAGAGATGAAAAACATGTTTTTGTCGTATTTCATTTGACATAAGTTTAGTTAGTACTAGCTTTTCAATAATGAGAATTCAGCAGAATCTGGTACTGCCACGTACAATATAGCTCAAAGGGATATTGCACAATGCATTCTGTGGTCTACTACCTGCAACTTTATAAAAATGGTTAAATGACATCTAAAACCACGGTGGCAAAGGGTGGAACCTGACAGCTGTGGGGCACCAGAAGTTTGTTTACTCCTTTTACCATTCAGATTCTCAGAACAGTAACAGCCCTGGGAACAAAGCAGTCCTAACTTAATAGTACCTATTTAACAGCAAAAGTATACCTGATGATCTTAAAATTTGACAACTTTTTACCTTCTTGCCTTCTAAGATCTTTTTAGACCCATCCTTCAGATGCGTCACAAGAATGTAAAACTATAGCAGAAGAGTAGTTTTTATTCTTACGTGGAATTTTAATTTCATGTAAATTGGCATCTAATTTGAGGGAAGGATTGAAAACCTAACACCTACTCAGAAATGTGCCTGCTTTGTCAGGCTCCTCATTGCTGTTGTTGTGAGTCCTTATAAATACTATGAGAAATTGTTTGCATGCCTCTCCCTTCCCGCAACTAATCCCACCAATCCATGTGAGCATACTCCAGCAATTCTGATTGCTGCTGAATTGTGCAAAAGCAGTTAGCAGAATGATGAGTAACACATCCTCATCCCAGCATCCTGTACCCAATATGGACACAAAACTTCGATTCTGCAAAGCCTTCCTTGTCTTAGTACGCATTAGTCTTTGGTATTGGCCAAAGAACTGCTGTTTAGCTTAGTTCAGTGCCCTGGTGAGCAAGTAGTGTGTAAAGGCATATTTGGGCAAAAGTTCAAGTACTCTTATTTTCAGGGGACTGCCTAATCATCATCCTAAATTGTAGCGGTCCGCTGCAAAGAATTTTTCCTTCTCAACCTAAAAAGCTGTATGTACCTTTTCAAAACAGGCCTTACTTTTTTTAATTAAATTTTTAACTATCTGGTGGCTCTCTGGAATCTTTAATTGCTTTGCATACATGTGTGGTCGAAATGTAATCAGTATTCATAAAAGGTAGTGGTGGGGGAAGCAAAGTGGTCCTACATTTCGTGAGCGATACCAGTAAACCGTGTATCCTGTTGATAATTTAACCATGTGAGTTGTGATATATGAACTTTTATATTCTGTGGCATATAAAGACTCACCAAGGCCCACTTCCAACATGCATATTTTGCTGTTGAAATGAACAAACAGTAAATTAGGATTAGACTTTGCTTACAGAATTAAAATCAGCAAGCCATTCAAGAGACTGGTGGTGTTAGACTGAAATTGATAGCATAATTGGTGGTGACTTTTTCAAGTGTATGTAACAGGTGATAGAAATTGCCAGAGTGAGTTTGCCATAATAAGGCTTAAAACAATGCTTATTTCAGACTTGGAGCCTCTTGAGTTGTAGCGAGTCTCCAGCTGGTGATAGTGTTGCCAGAGGTGTAAGTTCACTAGTGTTACCCAGTTAAATCTAATTTCTTGCATGAAAATGATACAAGATGTGCTTTTTGCTTTATTTCGAGATAGCCAGTGACTTGTCCAGGAGCCTGCCAGCATAGATAAATTCTGCTTGTGTAGATATTGCATATACTGCATTTCATGAAAATAAGTTGAACTTCACTGTTTGCTGCATGCAATCTAGAGTTATTTTGCATATGCCCTTTTACCTCTGGGGTTGTAGAGGCCTTGAAAATACTTAGTATAGTTCTGGATTGAACCCATCGTTACTCTGTGACTCATGCCGTACCCCTCTGTGGGCAGCATTGGATATTTCCTAGGAAAATGTAGGAGACACTTTGGCGAGCTTATTTGCATGGCTCTGTTTGGTCTTACCCATATACCTAGTAACTTTAGACTCTAAAGCATGAAGATTTATAGCCTTTTGGTCATCCCTACCCATAGGAACTTGATTTATGCTCTACGCATGCTTATCTATTACCTTTCTACAGCTTTCAGCCACATGAATGCTCTGTAACATGGGGTTTCACAGTCTAATAACACATTATGTTGGAAAGTATTTTATTTTTGCTGTTTCTTTGTTAATTTAATGTTCTCTTGTATTGTTGCTGCTTTCCTGCCTTCCAGTCAACACTTCTCTGTTTCTCATGCTTGTATCATGCCTCTTCCTTTTTTTTTTTTCTTTTTTGTGTATCCAACAGTCTTTTTAAGCAAAAAGTTTTCCAGATCTTGCTGACTTTAATTATTTTCTCCTGAACCTCCTTTCAGTTAAATGACTTTGAGGAGGAGGTGGGCGTACTGTGTCTCTGTCACTTGATGGAGCAAGAGTAGATCTATATTCCAGAAACAAACTGTAAGCATTAGTTACACATACGGTAGCAGACTTGACCATTTCTACTAGGAACCACATTCAAATGTCCCTTTCTGCCTCCAGATCAAAGCCTTTTATAGAATGTATCTGCACTTTGCAAGGACTGATGGGCTTGTCTTGCCAGACAACATCAGCTGGTCTGATATTTGACTCAATGTTATGATTTTCATTAAACATACTGGAGACCAAAGGCTTCAAGAATTTTCTGCTCTCCTGGAACCATCAAAAATTTTCCAATCAGATCCTTAATTTTCAACTTTCTATACATTCATGTGGGAGAAAAATGAAGTTCGCTGATATGAATGAGAAATTGTTTTAGAAAGTTGCTTTGAATTAAGATATTGTGCTACAAGATAAACAATCATTACTAAATCTGAATACTTTGTTACTGTACTTTCCTAGCTTTTGGGGAACTAAGGTCCTCGCTTACACCCATATTAAGGTATCTTGCTCTGAGAGTAAAATATTACCAGTTATGCACAATGCTCATTTTTTCTTACTACTTGTCAATTTGGGGAAAATCCTTTTTTATTGTTAAAAGTGTAATAATCTGTTTTCTGTGGTACTTACTATTATATAATATCTAAGCAGCACTGCTCTTGAGGTGCTCTGTTATTTAAAATGTACAGCACTAGAAGTATTGATAAGATACAGGTTTGCTTACTGACTGTCTTGCCTAATAGTTTATGAAGATCTCCTGCTTATTTTTGCTAGTAATTTTTTGAAAAATTTCATCACAGCTATAGTTTATTTCAGCAGTAACAAAGGAACAAAATTTTGTTCCTAAAGAAACGTGAGCTTAAAAAGGTCAAATGCCTTTATTCATAAATCACTTTGTAACTTGGGAATAATTCATTCAGTGCTTTTTTTGGTACAAATGAACTGGAGAAGACAACCTTTCATGGCTTCAGAAATCACTGCACTGACAGCTAAGTCTTGAAAAGAAAAATCTCTCCTCTCCTCTCCCTCCAAAGAAAGTGTTTTAATAAACGAAGTTATTGTCTGCTGGCATTATTGGACATGTGGTCAGTTGTCATGTTCCTCTGACCAACTGAACAAAGTTTGAACTTCTGTCTAATTGTTCCCCGCTGTTAGGCTACCCTGTCATGATCAAGGCCTCAGCAGGTGGTGGTGGGAAAGGCATGAGAATCGCTTGGGATGATGAAGAGACCAGGTGAGATGCTGTCCAAAAGCTTGCCTTGATGAATGCTGCAGTTATCAAAGTCCCATTAAGCCACTGTGAGCTGACAGTTGAGCAGATATGAAATGTTAGACAGAGAAATTGGATATTATTTGGTTTTCTCCCTCTTGTACAGTGAGCGCTATACTTTGGGAGTTTGCATGTGTTTGTCTAAAAGTATTTTTTGCATAAACCTTACAAAACATCGTCTGTTAATTTGAGTAAAAAACGAACACAACTGCCTTTAGTCCAATGATAGACTGTAAACATTTTGCTGTATGCCTTTCAGAATGCTGATGTATTAATTGTCTTGTGTGTTAGGTAGACTATTTATTGGCCCTGATTCTCAAACATTAATGCATGCCATTAGTTCTGTTAAAATTGATGAGACTGATTATTCATGTGTGGAAACACACATGGTGTTTCCAGAAAGTGCTCTAATAAATTGCATACTTCTGTGTTTAAAAGATTTGTCTCAGCAAACTATTGTGCTTTTGCCTGTTTGAAACAACGCTTGTTTAAACACCCAGACATTTTCATGTCTCTTAATGGTTGTCTGAATCCTGAACACTTCACGATGTTTTGTTATTGTCTCCAAGTTTTACAGTCCATTCTCTGCTGATACTCTGACGGTGAGGAGCCTGGTTTCAACCCCGTGTGCCACTGATGTTACAGAAAAGCATGTTTTGGGATTTTTCAAAGACTTGTAACAAAAAACCTATTTGATCCAAAATTAGATAACCTTCTAAATGTTTTCATTTCCATGTGGAGAATGCAGCACATTTACCGGAATCAATTCAAAGTGCAACTCAGATTTTCATTAGTTTTAGTCACCTTCAAGATTTCCCTGTCATATTTTTGTGTTCCCTATATTTATTAAATTTATGTTTACCAAAACCTAAAAACTGGAAAAAAGAACAATGAATGGCTAGCAGTTAAATTTTAGATTTACAGAAAACGTGTTGGGTTTTTTGTACCTTGCTACCTGTAACCCATTTATATTAAAATCTAAATAGGAAAATAAGGTTTTGTGCATTAGAATGAAGATCTAGAATAACCTGCTTTCTTACAAGGATGCTTTGTTCCTACTGCTTTAGAATCCAAAATGACTGCCTTGATCTTGTTCAGGCAGCAATTGCATCTGTTGGACTTGAAAGGAAAGCATTCACTTCTTGTTTTACTCAGAAAGCAGCAAAGGAGCTCGATTAAAGTAACTGTTTAAAAATTGAAAACTGGAGTTAAAATCATGGTTGCTAATTTGTTTTGGAGAAAAGTTGTGCTTACTGTGTAGAAAGTCACCCGATAGATTTGATTGGTATCAACAGACACTAGCTAGGGATATTCTTTTTTGTACATTTGCATACAAAATTAATGTAGTGATATTACTTTGACCCAGTGATATTTAGTGATATTAGTTTGAGACACCTTGTTTGTGGAAAGCCTTTGAAGTGCCATTCAACTCCTTATTTGCTGGCAGTGTCCTTGTAATAATCCTTTTGGTTAGTTATGCAAGCGTTGTCTTTACAGTGTAATTTTATAGAGTAATATCTGAAAGGTGCTAAGAGAAAGAACACCTAGACTGAGTCGCAGGTCAACGCTAGCTGCCAATCCTGTATCAAGGAGAAATGCTTAACATTTACGGGTAGGCAGCAATGAAGGCAAAATTCAGTTAGAAAAATACTTGTTGCAGGAAGATAAAAGTGAGATTAAGAGAACTGAAGATGGAAACAGATTTACTTTGCATTTACTTATGAAGTAGACCATTTGAGTTTCTCTTATAGTCTGTCTTGAAGAAATACCTATGAGGTTGTAAAGGATTTGTTGTATGTGTCCATTACTTGTGTTATGGAACTAGGATTGTTGCTTTTTATGTGTTTGAAGAAGAACATCCGACACCGTTTTGAAGGTGATTCATCTTGTTACTGACAAAACAATGTGTCTGATAGTTTTAATATGACGTAAGAAGTTGTTGACCTCATGTATCATCTTGCTGCATCTGAATCCATGTAAACCTAAAAATAAATTAATTTTCAGCTGTTGACAGACTCTGAGAAGCCAGTATCTGAATGACCTTTTGTATTTCAGGTTTCATAAGTGCAAGATGAGTGTAGATTACTTGTTGATAATATTTTGATTTGTAAACTTGCTTTGGCTTTGTCCTGTGGCATTAATTCCAAATGCTATTTGGAAAAAAACCACCTTTGTATAAACTAATTTTGTCTGAAACATACTTTTGGATTTTCAGGATAGTTGAACAATCTTTCTTGTTTCAACTGGCTATGCATCATACTAAAAGAAGGCTTAAATGTGTTATGTGGTGTGACATGGAAATAGCCGCTAGAAATGGAAAAGAATGACTGAATGACTGAATTGCTAATGTTACAGAATTATTTCCTGTGGTAACTTACTGGTGCTTCATCCTTTACATCACTTACATATCCCCAGTGATGAAAGTTTTGTCAGATCCTCTAAATATTACGATATTATTCCAGCTATAGCTAAGATTTCTGTAACTTTCAGCTAGAATTTCTAACTAGAAATACTAGAATAGTTTTACCACTGTTAGAATTATTTTTTTTTTTGTCCTTGAAGTAGCTTTCCATGGGCATGTGACTGTGGAAGGCTGCCATGTTGCCCCCTGCCTCTTTATCTGGGTAGGGATTTCTTGTTGGATTTCTTCAGATATGAATCCCTCCTAACTCTCACTTCTGTTGCTTTTTTCCAAGTTTTGGTCAAGTTCTAGTGTGGAATTTGGTGTACAGGTCAAGCCACTAACCCATATCTGAAATTAAAATAACCCTATCGTCACTCTAATGGAGTCCCTAATCCGTTGTCTTGGTTTGGATAAGTAGAATTTGGGATGCCCTTTCTTCACGTAAGAGATACCTGCTTGAATTTATATTGGAAATGAAGTGCAGATTTTTGAAGAGCGTTTTTTAGCGGTTTACATTGAATTCAGGTTCATAGGTTCTTCACAGCCTGAGAAAGTTCTGCTGTATGTGTCTAAGAGTACTTCTGTCTTAGTGTAGTTGATCGTCCCAGCCCTGGTCTTGTATATGAAGAGGCTCTGTGCTTGCATTCCAGAGAACCTGATCTGAAAGTGCTTTCCAAATATAGGCAACATGAAGTTCATTATGAAGTACAAGAAGACATGACTAGGGTAGGTGCTCGAATGTCTAGAAATTTTCGGTATTATTCCTTCTTTGATTGTGGAGAAACTTGAGGGTTCTCTTGCTTTCAGCATGCTTATAACAGTTGTAACTAAGTCTTTAGGCTTCATGGCTTCAAGTGGTCTGCTGGCAGCTCTGAAAAGGAATTCACCTAAGGACTCATCGTCTCCAAAGAACAGATTAAAAATTTCTGGCAGAGATTGTGGTGGATCTTTGCACACAAAGATACTTACTGGCGTGTAGGTTCAGTATCAGAGCATCATCGAACGGGAACTACTGGCCCTTATTTTAAACTCTATGGATTTGCAGGTATAAATTAGTTTTGCTGGTAAGTAGTTTCAGCTGCAAACATTATAACCTCTAAGTTGGAAATTTGCACTGAATTATCTTCTAACAATTCCCTTTTGAGAAATTTGGAGCTTTGTGCTAGTTCTAACACCCCCCCCCCCCCCCCCCACCCACCCCCCTGGTTGTCTCAGCTTCTGTAACTTTTCCTAGATATTGAAATCTTGAGTGCTTAGCGAGTATCTGCTTTGAAAGCTTTCAACAAGGCAGCTTCCAGCAACAGATGTTTAGAGAAATGAAAGACTCTGCCTTTTGACTTGTAATAACAGGAAAATATGACTTGTCCGGTTACTTAAATTCTTTCTTGGTGCTTATGCCAGTTTTATGAACTTAAGTCAAACATCGGCTCTCAAATTCCAAGAACCTCTTGTAAGTTCTCTTCTGTGGTCCTATGGTAACATACTGTGTTTACTTCCATTGTTCCACAGTTGTTGTTCTTCATTGGGATGGTACAACAGGGTATGTAGGAGAACTACTAGCAAATATGTCTTTGTAGTCTGCAATCATTTTCTGCAGTTTCCCACCTCTTCAGAAACATCTGGTGAAGTTTTTTTTCCTGATGTTGTAATCTTGCAATGGCTCTGAAGGAATGAACAGTGGAACTGGAAGAAGTTAAAGTGGAATGATATGTAATAAATCATTCCGAACTCCCCATCTCCCGAGGCAAAGGAAATACGAAGTGTGCTGTATGAGAGAACAATGCTTTAAAAAACGGAACAGCATTCCCTATTACGAGCCTGTACGTTGAGTTTTATTATCTTCCTAAAGCAGTGCATTTGGCCTGTCAGACTGCTCTGCAAAAATGGGAGTGTATGGGTTTGGCATCCTTGGTCTGTCCTGCACAGGTCTGTGCTGTAGGAGTGTTCAGGTAAGGGGAAGGAGTCAATTGGATGAGTGAAGAACAGCGTTTCCTAAAAACTTTTTTAAACACAGATTTCCATGTCATCTGCATGTGTTAAATTTATGTAAAATGGTGTGACTAGATAATTTTATTTGTTTTTTTAAATTTGGCGTAAAGCTGAAGAAACAGATACTGATTTTGTGTGTAAAAATCAAACAACATTTGAGTATTTGTTGGTTACCTAACTTGCCAGTCATGGTCTTAGAGGGATTTTACTGTAATAATGGTTATCAAACATCTGTTTTTAGCTAGATGGTCTTTCTAATTCTGGCCTTGACAAGAAAAAAAACTATTTTCTTTTACTATTTCTTGATACTGGAAACTGAAATATTACATAATGACTGCAGTCTTTTGTTAGTGTCTAGCTGCCTCCAAAGAAAGTGGTTGTTTAATTAAAGCAGCAATGCTACTCTTGGAGCTGGAGGCAGAAAGTTGCCGTGGGCTATCTCACTTCAAACAACCACAAGAAAGCTTGTGGCAAGATCAATAAATGCTTTTGTGCAACTTACACTTCAGTGTGAATAAATGTACTGTAGGGAGTGGGGGAAACCTTTAAAGACATCCTGTTCTTCCCCTTA